AATGAACAATTCAATAATTATATAAAAAATAGAAATTTATACCATTTATTCTTTTGTCGTCATAATATTTTCCTTGTACATTTTCTTGATTTTTCAACGATTCTTGAAATTTTGATCTAGTTGTAGGGTAATAGCTAGTTTCTGTATTAGAATCACGTTCAATAGGTGTCTTTTTAAAGGCTCTACCCCGTAAAGCACCTCTGGCACGATCTCCAGAGCTACCTCCTCGAGCCATTCGAAATTCATTGCGTGGAACACCTCCAATTCTGTAATGATGCAAATATTTATTAAAATCATAAAATATATTAATAATAAGAATTATATTAGAAATATAATTAAATAGAAGAAATATATTAATAATAAATTAATTTACCTTGGCTTAAATCTGGAGAAACTATGATCAGATGAATAGTTGTTTGTACTTCTTGGACAAATGACCAAAGTGCCTCTTGGAGCATTAAAATCATTTGAATTATATCCACTCAAAACACTGACATCTCCTTTCTCCAATACATTAGCTCGATTATTACCAACAGATTCTTCCTGTATCTCCGAACACTTAGATCCACGTAGCTTTGTGCTAATATTAGAGTTCCCACAGCTATTCATTACATTACTCTGCAGATGATCTGCATGACCTATACTTTGCATTAATAATATACCAATCACGGATAATAATAATTTTTTATATCAATAAATAATAAAAATCGTAAGATCATAAGTATATATAGTTGAATATGATTTATCAGAATTCAGCAACTTTCACATATTCTTAAGGTTATATTATTTGAACCTACATCTTTGGTGTACAAAGTTCAATGGTCATAAAATAAACGAAAAGTAATAATGGAAAAATAAGATAAATCATACAATACAATTAAAAATGTATTATAAAGTTTGTCAAGTAAAAGCGACGTTCAAGTTATTTACGTATAAAAGATACGATAATTTATAGAATAATTAAGTATCGCAATATCTACTTTATCGTATCGTTTTCTTTTAAATATTTCTCCTTTGGAAAATAATATCGAAATTGCATGGAACACACTTTGATTTCTCGTGAAAAATATTTCGTACTAATAATCGAAAAGAAATATCGAAAGGTGAAATAGTATCGTAACTGATTCTCCACGCGTTCGATCTATAGGTACACACCGTATCGACAACAACCGATTAATAGAATTTGTATAAAAATTTATGGATTAATAAAAATTAAAATATATTATAATCTTAATTCTGTATTATTATATAGAAATAGAAAGTTCTTTGGAATTTTCCAAAAATCATACGGAAATCTGTTTAAATTAACTTATTTAGGTGGATACACAAGAACCAACCACGAAATTGAAATGAATTAAATACTATTTATGAGTGGTATCTTCCACATTGTTCATTGACATGCTTTCTGTAAACATCAAGTACCATTCTTGACATGTCTTTTTTATTTTAAAATTTTTGAAATAATATACAAAGAAAAAATAATTATATAAATTAATAAAATAAAAATTAAAAATATAAAAAAATAATTAAATTAATTATTAAATATATAAATTTTAAATGATAATGAATTTTTTAATGAAATAAATAAACAATGCACTTATAAAAAAATTATTTAAAACAATTTTATATTTATGTTACATTTTTACGTAAATGAAATTAAGTTTAATAAAAAGATAAAGCAATTAAATAAAAATTGAATCAATACAAAATATCATTAAAATAATATCTTGATCAACCCTGATATCCAATTGACCTAGATCGATCAATACGATCAAAAAATTATAAAAAAATAATAAATGATATTATAGATAAACAAATACACCTTATAAAATTTATAAAAAATAAATTTATAGTTATACGCAATTATACATAATCACTATTTTTGACACATAATCGTATCAATTGGAAGCCACACTACCTTTCTATAATTTAAAACTATATATTTATTGTATTATTTTACAATAGTTTCAATTTATATATCATTTAGCAGTTAAAAATATTTTATTAAATGTTTTATTACCTTTTTCGTTTTATAACTTGTTTTGTTAGGTTACTATTTAATCTTAAACGAAAACGTGTCAGTAATTTTAATTGATTTTCTCACTAAATTTTATATATTTGAGGATGAGCCTTTATAGAATTCGCTTCTTCGTTTTCAATGCGTATTCTTATTACGAATGTGTATATTTTTACATATATGTAAATAATACAATATGTATATAATATATATAGTATAATATTATATATAGTATATTACAGTATTATAAATATATAAATTATATTCGTATATAAGATATATTATTTTTGTAAAAAATTATTTAAAAAGATATAAAGATATTCGTATATCATAACAAAAATTTCTTGACTTCAATAATTTTATATTGTATTTTATTATAATTTTATATTTCTATTATAAGTTTTTTTTATATTGTATTTAATATATCATGTATATCATTTTATATTGTATATTTTAAATAGTAATTTGCAAAATATTTTGTAACTATGATAATATAATTTCTTTTATATATTTGCGAGTTTCAAAAATGGAAATTTTGGATGGCACAAAATAAAAAAAACTTCGAAAGAAAAAAACAAAAAACTAAATAAAAAAATATTAAATTAAAATTAATACATAAAAATATTGCAATATTATATTAAATTATAAAATAATATCATATTAAAAAATATGTTACTTCAATAATTCATTGTTTAATAAATTTTCATTAATTTGCTTATAGAAAATCTTTAATTAATAGTTGTATTTTGGAAAAGTTTATACTTCAATATATTTAATTTCTTATGATTTATAATTTCATTAAATTTTTCTACTAATGGTTTAATACATTAATAGTATAATAGCTCAATGATAAAATTTAATGAATATTACATAAAACTATAATACATTTCAAAATTCAATTGAATTAATGATTATCTTTATCTTTTGGATCATTTTTTTCATCAAATTTCTCTTGACTATCTTCTGTATGAGGCCAAGTTGTAGATTCTCTATCAGGTCTTAAGGTTTCTTCTGGGTTTATATCAGAAAAATCTTCCATTGTCATTTCTGAAAATGGTATCATATTTTTTATCTGATCCAAATTTTGCTGTAATTCTGCAATTTGACTATTTACTTGTTGAGTAAAACTTTGTATTTTATTAGCCTGTAATATATTGAATAATATTAACTTAATTAATAATATTAATTTTAAAATAAATATAAAAGAAAAGTAAATATAAATTACAATTTCTTTTTGTTCATTATCAATTGCTTCTGTATATTTATCTGTTGGATATGGTACTGATATTGCTTCATATTCTTTATAAAACTTATCAACTAAACCAGGAGTGACAATAGTTTTTTTATAATATGTCCAATCAATTTTTGGTAAATCTTCTGGATAAGTCATCATACTGTAAAACAAATTTTTTCTTTGAATCATATATTTTTTTATATAATTTTTATTATATATATTTATAAATATATATAATATATATTTATATTATTTATAAATATGATAATTTGTATATATTAATGTACAAAATTTGTTAACAACAGATTTCTTTCTTATTTTTGTGTTATTTTTTTTAATAACTTACTATCGCGACATATTATTATCTTGAAATTATATTTAAAAAAGGTT